TGTAACAATTTTACAATATATTACTAAATAATATTATTAATGTCAATAAAATTGGGTATTCAATGACAAGACGTACCTATATTGATATATAGAAGGCATATAGAAAAATTCAGAAGAAACTTTTTCGCATTTATAAATATCAATCAATAACATTTCTTTATCAATAGTTATTTTTTTTATTGAAATATAAAAATCGAATCATGACTTAAAAATCACACGTGTTTATACATTATATATAGTATAAATTTCATTAGCAATTTTATTTAGAAATTTATATTGTTTGTCATATTTATAAATAATCGCCTTGCGAAAATAATACCGAACCTTTCATAATTAGTCCAAAAACTTTCCGATTTTATACTACGTATATAATTTTTTTATATCTTATGATTGTATTTATTACAGTAGTTTTCAGTTAAAGTTTAAACATTTTTTTTTAATTAGTTCTAAGTCAACCGATTAACTTAATATTTACCAAAAACATGACTTTTCAAAAATACTGATACATATATGTGCCATGAGATCTTAAAAGGTTAAAAAGATATTTGAGAGGATCGGAGACACGGGATCGCTTCAACATTCTTACAGCGCAAATGCAAGATGTAATCCACACGCGAGAACGTAACGAAGTTGCCCTGAATGAAATGCTGCGTTGTAGATGCTCGTTCGAAGCGAAACGATAATAGCGCGGCTCGGCTCCACGTGGCGTGCGCGCCAGTCTCTAATAAATAGTAATTAGCGAGCCGGTAATTAATATAGGAGCAATTCCAGTAGGGGGGCACAAAGCGTCGCGCATTCGTCGCGCCTCTATCTGCGATCGTCTCCGGTCAACCAACCGACCCAGGGACTCGCCCACTATTTTCCACACCCTCTGCATCCCTCGTCACCCCTTCCTTAATGCTCACTTCTCTCGTGTGTGCAATGACCTCGGTGCTAATGCGACGATTATACTAATAAAATTTCCGTCCACTTTACGGCCTCTATCTCGGCAAGACATTAGGAAGCGAGGAACCCCAGAAGAAGGCAAACATTCGCCCGCGCCTTTCTCCCCCTCATGAGCAAACAACGGCTCGTAGATCGAGTTCATCCTTCACAGGATGCGAAAGTTCGGGGCGGAGAAGGTAGAAATTCCTGTTGGAACTCAAAACGATTAAAGGGGATTCCTTTGAAGCATCATATCGCGGAATGATGCCTTTTGGAAAATCAGCTGGGGTAAAACGGTGTATAACGCTCTCCCCTTCGGTGGCAGCTAATGACCTCACGTCTAGTTTCAATGTAATTCATGTTTAGTTTGATACTGTTCGTGTGGATTATTAAATATAAACTTATTTATTCCGAAGCTTGATCATTAAAGCAGTATTACGTGTTTCCGTTATTTCTATTCTTGTAATATAATCTTTAGATCTTAATATTTACTCGTGTCTACAAAGACTGCGCCATTACAAATTAAAAATGTATATCATTGTAGTTCTTTACATGAAAAAAAGCTTTTAATAGGAAGATCTATACATACGCCACGTAGTGTACACTCGGCGGCATCTTTTTTGTCATAAAGTCGAGTTGGACAAACAAGTTTCGTTTGAAGTTATATTCATAATTATCTTAGCAAATGCCTCTTAACGAGAGAAAGAGATGCGCGGGGAAACCGAGTGAGTGTTCGCGTACGCTCCGTAAACTTTGCAGAACTATGGGTGGCCACTTGTACTTAGAGCAAAGTTACGAAGTGTCATTAACCAACTGTATGTAACTTACTTAGTCCGGGTGCATCTCCAATCTGTTCATTACATGACTTTCTCTTGCTGTACTCACTTCATAAGCAGCTACGTTATTCCTGGTGCTAAGTCAGTCTTATCTCTTAATATTATAATGTAAATTCTTATATGAATTGTTATGTTCTTGGGAATCCCCATGATGTTTTCGAAATTACTTTGAACATTTCTCATGTAGTATATAACGGAAAATGAATGAAATAGTTATCTTTATTCAATATAAATGCAATCATTGATATGGCGAAATTATTAGAAATCTCCCCAGAGTAATCCTCTATTACTTATTCACATGAATTTCGATGAGCATATCCCGTGGAAAAGGCATTGAGGGAGTTATCTGCTGTGCACCGCATCGCTATTGCGCGACACCGCTGCTCCCGGAGGTGCAACAATAATTATTTCTAATTTCCAGTTATGCAAAAATGTGCGAAGCTTAAGTACCCCAGATAATAATATCGGTCTCTCCCTAGACAGTCCCGGAGGTAACGTGAATTTTTTTCTTGTAAATTATCCCTTCACGTCGAGAGTAAAAGCATTTTATCGGAATATTTTCAATAAATCGAATCTATATAATTTTTCATATACGCGTTTTAAATCATTTCGGTTTGTGTATTGTATTTGTACATAAAATGTATCGAGTTTTCATATGTTTTATAGTATCTCTTGTGATACTAATGAAAAGTATCGTATTAAACAAGCAATGATTTGTAATTAATACGTAATATCAAACCTGTAATAAAATCTAACTGCATTTAATGCAAATGTGCACGTGTGCGTCAAACTGTCATTCGTTTGCATATTTCGAGGAAACTACGCATGACATTATTGATTTGCTGATAAGGACGTCGATAAACAATAAAAATTTTGTATGTGTAATAAAGGATGCAAACTAAAACCATCATTACATAATCATAATAGAAAATATGTAAACGTTTTAAAATAATACATGATAATGTAACAGGAAATATATGCACACCAACACATGGAAGCTACTTTATTATTCGCAAGAATTGTCATTTTTATAAACATCGTAATGTCTATTTAAATTAGTTATTTTCTCTATCTAAGCATATGATATTATTTGAAAAATATGTTTGTGCTTTGTGTTCCTTTTCAATTTTCACCGTTGTTTCATTCGACATTTCTAAAATTTTAGCGCTTCAATACATCTTGACGAATTCAATGGGATTCGTCATGCTAATTTGCGTGCATATTTACGATTTCTATGATACTTGTGCTAAATACCATTTCATTGTGTGCGCGTAAATGATGTAACTTTCAATAATTTCCCTGTAACAGATTCGATACTCCGTAGCGTGTGCATATTTTATCGTGGGATCACATTATATTCACACAAAGCACGGTGCTATCCGAAGATTTGTCTACATATTGAGCTCTGTGTTTATAACAGCACGTGGCTCGCATTAATTAGTAATTGACGCGAAACCAATATTAAATCACACTGGGTGAACTAAAAGCACGCGCAATTCTTTGCGTTTGGTCAAACTTTGCGCTCCGTTAAAACGGTACGGATTATCGAGAATGCATTACAATAAATTCTCGTGTAAGCATAGTGAGCCATGTGAGCATTCGATATACTGGCAAAATGCTTCTCGTAAAATTCGAATGATCCCGTGAAAATAAAGTGCCCCGAATAGCGTTTCGTTTGTATTTCCATAAAAGACCAGGGATCTACGTATTTTCGGTATCTTTTTTTGTTTTATCAGTAAATTCGTAATACTTTTCAGTATTCAAACGATTATTTTAAACATTACACTATTCGAAAAAAGTAACTTTTTCTCTTTGAAGTGTCATGGTACATAACCCCGAAGATTTTTTCGCACTGAACACGACCCATCGTCAGAATTTTTTTAGTAAATCGGGCTGAAATGGTACAACATCATCCTAATTTTCAATTATATTCCAATTTACTAAAAATCCTAATGTGCTACGCAAATTCTACCGATGCAACGGCATCGTGTTAAGTGCGAAAAAATTTGGTGTATGTATTATGGCACTTCAAAGGATAAAATGATTTTTATCAAAACGTAGTTATACAGAAAATCTAACTTTTAACAGTCATAATTTGTTGAAAATAAGTCGTACGATCATGAACTAAAATTCATTCGAAAGCTCTTAAATTATGCCTATTTTTATGTATCCTAGCGTCTAAGGCCTAGACTTTATTTAGAGTTTTTGGTTTTGCCAATTAAAAAATGTTAAAAAGGATCGAAGACGTCATTTTTTTGCTCATTTCACTCCAATTTGCCCAAAATCCTATAACTTGCTATGGAAATTCTGCTAAACGGTATCGAATTCAGCGTGAAAAAGTCTTCGAAATATGTACCGTGATACTTCGGATAGAATTTTGGTGTTGTTCTCTCGGCAGATTAAACATGCGTATCATTATATATTCACTAAAATTTCCGATGATTTTAAGAAATCGAATAATTGCGTCTATTAACGAGTTGCTTGCATAGGAATAATTATAGCAAAAAAAAAATACGTACCTATAACGTTGCAAATTATAATATCGGCAACCTCATTAACTATCATCGCACACGAATAATCGCGCTTGTTAATATGTTGCGTTTCTATTATTATACAAGTGTTTAGTGCAGTGATACGTGAATCGAATGCGACTGTACGTTAATCGCACGTGTATGTAATCCCCGTGCACATGCGCGCTTCAGTATTCAGTATCGTCACGGCCAGTACAAACAATGTTTAGTCGCAGGAATATACTAATGGTATGTACATAGAAATATAGAGAAACGAATATACGCTGAGTATATTTACAATGAATTAACGGATGCTTTAATGCAAACCTCCCCCTTGATCTACACCCCATTAGTTTAAACAGATACCCCATACCATCGCGTACACATCTGCACATCTACATAATTGGCGCCGGAGTATGCACCAAATTAAACATTCGCCAGTGAAAACTGAACCGCGTTATATAACAGTATCCATGGGTTTAAACGGAATGGATCACGTTTCGGATTCAATTGTCATTATGTTGCTCTTTTCATGGAGTACTAGCGATGTTTACTTATGCATTTATACTAATTCACAGAGGAATAAATATGCACGTGAGTTTAAAAATCTTTTAGAGAAGCATACACGTTGTTAATAAAATCGACAATCTATATTATAATAATATGTTTAATTTTTTTTCCGAACGAATATTCTTAAACTATGTAAAGTGTTGGTTGAATTGTCACTTACCCGAATACGTCTCGGTTGGTATTTGGTCACTTGGCACAGTGAAACTTCCTGATGCATTCGGTGGGCAACCATTTCGGTTTTGTTGCGTGCGTAAAGTATGCGTTGCGTGTAAAGACGGTCCACGTGGCGGTACTTCCGGTGGCGCGGGCTCCGGAGGAGAATCCCTACCGGTATCTAAAAAACGCAAAACATATTTTTTTCTATTAGATTGCACATTGTTTCTCACAGCACAAATCGCGTTTTAATAAAACACAGAAATTTATTAAATAATATGCTAAACAACATCAATATGGAACATTTATTGTATAAACGCGTATGATGTAATACTAATAGCTTCAGATTAAAAATTGAAATCGATTATATGAGAAATCAAACTATTTGATAATATTTACTGTATAAAAGAATTATAGAAAGTAACTATTGACCATCGGAAAATTTAATCTCATAATTTTAATAATTTCTTTGATTTCTCAAATAACACATTCATTTAATACGTCGATAAATTCAAAATATTCGGTGTTTATCTTGTGAATTATTGATTGAATGATTGTATCGGTGTAATTCCATCCATTGCAATATCGTTCTCTCTTACGTGGCATTCATGAAATTCTAGTCTTCCCATAGAAATGCCGCGAGCAATTAAGCGGCATCAATAATTAGGCATCTCCTCGTAACGTTTTATGCATGCAAATTCAAAGAATCTATCTGCCATTACACGACGAAATTGATTACCCATTATAGACGAAGGAATATACAAGGAAATACTGAATAATAGTTGAGTACCATAATTGAGATATTAACGGCGTATATTGCAATTCCAGTATCATTATCCATAAATGCACTTTAAAAGCTGCGACAGCGACACAATGTGTTACATGTCTCGCTTTGCACATGCGTACCTGTTCAGGCAATCCATGCATATACGTATATATGGTTAATATACTATATAATGGATATTATTATTTTCTAAGAATTTCATAAATTTTTGTGTTTGAAACATAAAGTAATTGTGGCGAGCTGCAATAAAACAATACTAAACATTTTCCATTTCTATCCCTTCACCATTGGCCCTTCGGGGCTTAGCGTTGCGACCGTTCCTGTAGCTAAGTTACTTATAAAGTTGTTGAAACTTGAAAGGAACTCCACCAAAGAATAATTAAAGTTACCTAAACATAAAGAGCATAAAAGAGCGCCTTCGCGACCAGTCGAGGGCAACAAAAATATTTGAGAGTCTACCCGCGAAAAGCTCATCTCTTATATTAGAAGAGGCCAATGTAATTGCTATAGAGAAATATTAAAACGCTATTAATTAAATACTCAGCACAATTAGAAGTTTATTATTAGTTATAAATTTTGTATCTTCTTCAAATCTAGCATTTTTTATTATACTTATACAGATACCATTTATGGCGAATTAGCCGAAACAGCCAACGATGATGCTATAAACCGATACTACGTTGAGCATATATACATAATTGGAGCAATGTATAACCATTAAAGGTTGTTAATGTTACAGTGCACATTATTGTAAATCAAGTTTAACTGCAATACAGTGGTCTATCGCGCTTTCGTGAAGCTACGTAACTTGGTTGTGGTAACTCGGATGTGGGATAATGGAATTTCGGTCCCTGGTCCTGCGGATTAAAATCTATTAAGCGAGTCGTTACAACTTATAGATGTGTGTTGTAAATGTCAAGACAATTACTCGAGCCACATAGTAAACAATAGTTTAACGTCTTATAGTTGTCGCAATTCTTTGCATCGACAAGCAAGTTAATAATAACTTTGACAGTTAATGAGAAAGAGACTAAAATTTTCAGACAACATTAATAACATTAAAAATATACAAGAAGATAATTCTTGAAAAATCATAAAACAGTAATGGAATTTTTATGTGATGTTTTCTCACAATTAGTTTTTGTGTTGTTTTTAATGATAATGGATAAAAGGCGAGTACATATAATATATTGATATCAAATTTATACAGTTGGTCTTCCTGCAAACTGCTTACATACCTGTGAGATAAATAGGCCTGGGTAGACCTGTGCGACAGGAATGTGCAGAGATAAAAGTGCATTAGTGCGACGGGATCGGCATGTGCATATGTGACGATTCCAGAAAGAATTACGTCATGCAGATGAAATGTACGATGAATCAATTCAAACATTATTATAGATAGATTTACTTTAAAATAAATTTGCACAAAAACTACATAGCGTCGAGCGCAATAAACGATCACAGTTCTTCAGATTTATATCCGTATATCAAAATTCTATATATATAATTTCATTAAAATTATTGTGGGATAATTGATAAAAAAAAAACAGATAGATAATATTAATTTCTTATTGACAAAGTTAGGAATTTCCGTTAATTAAATCGATGCAATGTGAGAGCTCGAGATAGAACACAGTATAGATGCTGATTAATTTAATAATTTTACGGGAAAAACGAGATCACAAATGCATTTTAGAGTGTGATTGAATCGGATGACATCGAAGGTTAATGCAATTGTCATGCATGTGAATGATAATGATATATCTGCAATATTCGCTTTCACTTCCTGACAACGCTTTGCATTGAGGCTATTTCAAATTTTCGACAATTTTCGCCGTTATCACTTGATCGGATCGACATCTAATTAATCGTAGAAATTATAAACGCCATAGAGAAATTATTTCTGCGAAGTCACCTGGGAGCAGCATCGATATTTTCCGTAATAAGCAGTAATAATCGCTTAATTAAACCGGACCGTGAAATGCGCAATGCGTAGCTGTCAGCACCAGCCGCGTCCGTCGCGTATCTCGGACAACTTTACCGTCGAAATATACATTTGTTCCAGTTATTGAACAATTTGCCGGCATCGTTCGAGTGCTCGGAACACCTGTAACGCTCAATTACAAAGTCGATATCGCACCGACAACGGGGTTGGAAAAATCTCGGGGCTGGTACCGAGCCGCTACAGAGAGGGCCGGACCCCCCTTTGTATCTGACAATGTGTTATTTTGCAAGACATTTTATAACGATGAGCTACGTGTCACAAAATACATTCTGCCTTCGTGGTGGTTACATCACTTTGCATGCGTATGCGGCAACAAATTAAAGCTCGAGAAAAGTACATATTTGAAGAAAGTTCTTCTGAAATTGCGAAATATACTATAGGTATACATTAACGTTAAATTGCTAGAATGCGGGTGCAAGAGTTAAAACCGGTTAAATTTAATCCGACGGTTAAATTGCCAAAAGCAAAAATATCTCGCAACGAGCGCGCAGTGGAATTTGATGAATCTCCAGTAGATCAATTATATTGGCGATTGGTAACAAACAATTTTATTATCCATTTGATGAATATATTCGACATCATCTTTTTTTATACGTTTCGCATACATACACATAAATCAATTACTTGCTAACGTAGCATGTAATGTGAAGAATCGTTAAATTTGTTGACTTTCGCGCAAATTCTATTGAATTCTACGACTTATTGCATTGTATATGCAAATTCGCCAGCATAACTAATTATACGCAGCAAGGATAGGCGATAACGCTACATGAAGGTTAGATCAATACGGTTCCAGCCAATTATAGCTAATGCTGGTACATCATTGACCAGTGGTCAAACCGCGTTACTGTCTCTCATAAAGCATAGGATAGCGTTTACAGAATGTGCAAAATAAATCATGCAATTTCTGATGGCGATAGGTGCAATGCAATCTAATTTTGCAAAATGATGAACATGATATAACTCCGTAATATAGATTTCACTATTTACATAATGCGGCTTATTCCGCCATGGCAGAATATATTACATTCAAATTAAAATTCACTCAATCTCCCCTTTACGAATATGAAAAAGACCATTTTTTTTAGGAAGATTAATTTGCTTCATTTTTTGAGTTCTATATTTGCATAGCTTAAACAGCTTTGTTTATATGGAAGCTGCAATTAAGTTTATATTTCTAAAAATAGTTTATTATAATTTCTAAATTTTTCCATAATATTTTTACAAAAATTAAATCACATTATTAGGGTAATTAAATTATTTTAAATATGTCGTTCTAATATTTCAATCAAGTTACTCAACTTGCTTGACACAGTATTTAGTGGAATTTATTGGATGCTGCTTTCGACTATTATTACAAACGTGACAAGCGTACCTACATATACCTATTTGGCGTTTAGCACGACATCTAATTGGACACATTATTGAGCAATATAACGTCGCCGGTGGTATGTCTTAGCCAATCGTTGTGAGCCAATTATGTAGTATGCCAGGGCATCACCGATACCGAGTTCAACCGAGTTATCCCTCATCCGCGGGCGGCGAGAAGGGTTAGTCAGACAGTGCAAGGGGATGCAAGGTAGCCGACAGTGACTTGATGCGGTTAGCGATTCGCGTCTGTAATTCGATTTGTCGGTCTAACGCCTCCGCCGCGTCGGGGAGTACACGTTCATGTAAATACGAATTATTTGCTAGCGCTATACTGGCGCGGTATTGCCGCGATGGTAGGTACTGTACCTACTGTCCGATGACCAGCCCAACGAATCGTTCCGGCTTGACTCCTTCCGGACCAAACAGTCTAATAAACCGAGTTAGCATTCGTGAATGCTTCGTCCGAACTGTCTCGTACAATTTCTATGTGCCGCTTCTACCTTCGTTCGCACTGGACACACAAAATTTCATCCCTGCCTCGCCTGCGGATCCATTTATACCAATGATAAATTGAGATATAATGCTTTTATTGTATCCTTTCAAAGTATAACGAAATAATAGAGTCGAACAATTTATTTATATATTTGATGAGTGAAACAGTCTTTAAATTTTATTCTAGCAATTATAAGGCAAGAAATATATTAAGAAAATAAAAGAAAAAATATATTGGGAATAGAATGAGGTTCCATAAAACGGAGCTTTGCTACAATGAATTTTCACGGAGGAGAAAGTTCATAAATATCACGTTGCTCGTAACGTGAGCATTATACGATAATTTACGACAATTAAGCTTGCGCATTGATTACATTCTGTTTGAATTATTTACCTTAGCGTAATGGTAGTAAAGTGGTGAGACAAGACCGTTATAACGTCATCTATAAACCTAATGTCTCGTGACTTTAATTCCCATGCATACTTTTTACTGTCATTGAGAGCGCTTTCTTTTAACATAAAAGTTAACCTTTACTTTTGCAAACGATTAAAATATTCCGTTGTAAATAGTTAAATGATTTTTATTGCCGTAGATATCTAGATCGGAAATAGACTAAAAAGAATTAAAAGAACGAATAGAACGATAACGATAATGGCGAACACGAACTATTGGCATAGTTTGCAAGTGGTGCTTGAAATTATTCCTATTCGTCGAAACTTGGCACTTAGCCGAGCACACACATTCGTATATATAGCGTTCTGAATGGTCATTGTTACAAAAAGTATTCGATTGTATAGTTAGAAGTGACGAATCAAGTGCTCTTGATTAAACACTACAATCAAAAAGCGAAAATTTACGCAAGTTATTTACTCACGACAGAACTTACTCGACCGTATTATAGTTTATTAAAAATACCGGCATATTGTTGCTATATAACATGGTCATTTTTGAAATTTTTACTTGACTATATAAGTCAATTGATTTTGCGAATATTTATTTCGTCCGCGTATGCAACATGTATATCGTGAAACCTACATCAATCCAACGAATTGATAACATCAAGCTTGCTGGTGCGCATGATTCGTTCCACGGCATTAAATGCAACAACCCGCATCAGAGCTCGTCAAAAATTACAGACCATCGTTGAACGATTGCGAAAACCCGCGGAAAATTTATTTTTCACGGACAGTGATTTGCTTCTACATGTTTATATTGTCAAAATTATTAATTTTCACAAAAATTGTGCATTTCTCCTAATTGATTTATCTGTATAAATGTAAACAATGTATATTCACAAAAATTTAATGGTTGTTTGAAAATCCTATAGAATAACAAAAGTTTATAATACACGGTATTAAATTGCAAGAAAAACCTACCATCGAATTATATTTTGTTTCCAATCATTTATTTACAGATTTGTTACAAAGTTAACGCTTACAACGCGGTAAAATATATCACGTGTTAATTTTTCATTTTACAATGACGAGTATACGTTCATTTAGCGTGTGCATTTCATAGCATTGTGGTAGCAAATTACCGTAACGTTATCGGGTTTCACGCGTTTGCCAATTCAATAACGTGCTCCTCGACTAGGCCACATTAGACTACGGCGGTCTAATGTAATATCAATCGTCTTTCTGGCGATGCGGTGCACACGGGGTTAACGCGGGTAAGCCCTGACCGTTGGGAGCCATTTGCTAATAGATGCCGCGACATGCCTCCATTAGACCGCAGGGACATTCTGGCAAGCAATATCCCATCGCAGATTCAGACTCAAATTACTGCTTACGAGATCCTGGTAATTATACGCGGTATCTTGCAGCATCTTATATAACGCTTGTCGTCACACCATCAGCATACTCATAAAGTCATGCGTCAAAACATTTTTGTGCGGAAACTTATCGATAACTATACTGAAAAAAAAGTGTATATTTGCACGATAAAAAGATTATTATTAGGAGTCCACTTGTATTATAGTTATTGCTGTTATAATATAATAATAATTATTATTAGTTCTATCCAAATACATAGAGTTGACAACAATAATGACTAAATTGTAGTTAAATTTTGGTAATTAATATGATCAATTTTTTTCTCTTAATGTAATGGCTTGAGAATACTAAGAATGACACACATCCCTAAATTTAAAATAAAAAAAGAGAAAACAGAAAATGTCATATTTTAAATAAATCAATTTGCTACCTGGATAATGATAAACATAAAACTTTATGGCTAAACCTTTTATTACTTTGTAGTATAGAGTATACACACTGAAAAAAGAGTCTGGTAATAGCTATCAAATGTTGAGTGAAATGATTCCAATTAAATATTCGATTAATATATATGGTATAACCAAAAATAATTTTACTTTTCTAAATATTTATAAAAATAAAATTATTTTTGTTACTGATTGATTTTTTTATATATAGCGAAATTAATTTAATTTTTAATTGATTATGTTCACGGTTTGATAGGTGAGTGATCTCTCTCTCTTTCTAAAGTTTTCATTTATTTTACATTCTTCCTTAATACCTTAATAATGGTTGGATTATTTATATAGAATTCATCTTCAATTTATTTGGTCGCCTGATCTGTTAACCTGGTGTCTTTATAAGTGAAGCGGAATGATTGGGCACTCTCCTATCAAACCAGCTAAGAATTTTGATTGTATATGGATCAGATACACTGAGGATGGCTCGAATGTAAGTCGAAACGTCTGATTTTTTCGTATTTAATAAATCTTTTGCTCGTACGACTTACAACGAAAAAACTCTCATTAGCCTGTTCTCTGTTTATATTTTGGAATTATTTTTATCACTTAATATTTGTGTGTGGTAGTTATTACCAGACTCTTTTTTCAGTGCATTCATGTTTATAGAATATATGTTGAACACACATTCATACATGTTGTAAATGAACGAGCATCACGAGCTTAATTCGCGTCGCTAATTTTCACGATACCTACACGTAATGTGATCACACTCGAGCGGGCAGGAGTAATGCGGCCTTCGAAATTCCGGAGGTAACCGTCCACGAAGATGCGGTGGAGCTCTTGCTCCTTACCACACGGGCGCTCGCCAGCTTTTCCACCCGGCTATCCTTCGTCCTTTCATCCACGCTCACGCTGTCTCGCGATATCGGTAGACTAATTGGCAGCCAGCTTCCCTCGAACCCGACGTGACCGCCACATCGACGTCGCGTCGACACGAAATGAGATCCGACGAAATTTCGTTTAAAACTTAGCCGACGAGCGTAAGCCGCTCGTCGACCGCGGCTGCCGGTTCAAAGCCGCAAAGCTACTTTCTCTTATCTCTCGGTGGTTGCTGCTCGAAGCTGCGTTACACACAGTGAGATAGTGCGTGTGCCAAGATAACACGCGGCCCTGCAACGACAAGAGATCTAAATACTGTTGACGTTTTGAAACAATATAGTCGGCGAGGTCACGCTAACTTTGGCGGTGGTCTATGCTCTAACTAGCCGAGCCCAGGCGCCAACTGCTAACTCTGTTAGCCCGGGGCTGGAGTCTTTCTCTTTCCCTCTCGCACTCGCTATTGCTGCTGCCATTGCAGCTACCGACACTGTTGGTGTTGCCGCTGGTATATTACTGCATCAGACAACAATGAACCTAACTGCCAAAATAGAAGGTCCCTTGGTTATTTAATGAGCCGACGTGTAATGTAGTTTGTCGATTACGGCATTGTTCGCTAGACGATAACGCATGGCTCGGAAACGTTTGCCTTTGCTAAGATCTTTCGCCTTTGACCGTTTTGCGAAGCTTCGTAATTGTGTGTCGATGGAAAACGCGAGACGAGAAATGCTCGTAATGAGAATATTTGTTTAGTTGAAATTACTATGTATATTGCTTTAGAACGAAATTGACAAGAGGTATAATGTGCTGTTTACATATTACATTCTTATGTCTGAAGTTATTATTTATTACCGAATTAGAAAGTCTTAATTATCAATAGGAAATATGTTTTATAAAGGATTTACGAAAAATCAAGGCTGAAAGTATTTTGTTGTAACTCTCTTTCTTTGTTTCTATCAATAATCTCGAATAATTGATAACACCTATACAAAATACATGAAAGACTTCTTAGAAGATATAAGAATGCATTCGTAGGCTCTCTACAGAGTTCTGAGTACGTTGAGTTTCATATGCAATTTCCTTTTTCGTGCGTTTCTAGGTGACTATTAATATTAAGCTTTTAACGAGGAACACGTTTATGCGAAACCTGATTTAACTCCGGCCAGGGGCTCGATACCAGCCGGTAACTCGGTTAGTCCGGTAATCGCATTTGAGGCATGGATCGTTAACTTATCGCACCACGGCAAATTTTACGTCGTGATTTAAAGGGTCGATCCGCTCAGAGCGATCGATGAAGATTCATCCCGATCTGTCAAGCTGAATGAGTTTCTTTGTTGAAGTCTCTAATAGTAGAAATTTATTCTTTGTACACTCGTTGCGATTTAACGATTACAATAATTAATCTTAAGATGGAATGCGACAGCATGCAATGTGATGCAGTGATCATGCGTATGAAATAATAATCGCGCGATGACGTATGCGTAATATGTGGAAAGGAAACTACAGTATATTTTTCCTCACCATTAGTGAGATGCATGCGAGTGTGTTCATCGGGGAAGACGGTTTCGGAACGATCGCTCGCTGTCGAGCTACTGCTCAAGGCGCTTGCGTGACCTCGCCGTGTTCTTCGACCTAAGGTACCGCCGCCGGAAGCCGTCTTTTTTGTGGACGCCGCGTAAACGGTCTCACCTGCAATAAAGAAGATACGAATATTTTTGAACAGCCTGCTAAAAAGTTCTTTCCTTTGGAAAACGCCGGTATCGCTAACGAACGAGAGTCATACCGCTTAATTCAATCTTCCATTATTACGTGGACAAAGAAGGTACTCGAGTTCAGTTCTCTAATCCTTTCAAAATTACGTTAAAAAAAGTGAAATTATCAAGATTAAATTTTTCACGTAAGCTAACTTTTAACTTTCATCAAATAACTTTTACACAGCGTGCGCGTCCCGGAATTATTTTAATTTAATGTTACGATCTTTGACATAAAACATGCGTAACGTTTAATAACTAGAGATGTAAAGAATCTGGAAAGAGATTGAAGTGCGAAGTATCATTTTAAAATGAGTTGAAACCGAGGGTTGAAGCTGTTTTACATAATGTCACGTTGCTTATCACTTTAAATTGTCCATCTACCGGGATTTCTCGTCTTGCGTCCATCTACCGGAATGAGCTCGTCTCGCACGCATCACGGCTGTACAACGTAGTATAAAATTGCGTTTGATGAGATTCATCTTGTGGCGAACCCGTAAGTATCATCTTGCGTGCAAACCAACCCGTTTGCGGTTCTAATTAACTCCCTACCATTGCCGTTGCGAGATCTCTCGGAAGATATGCTGCCGTTATAATGATGCCGGCGAGAGTTTGTGCTTTCGAGGGGAAACGGAGAAGCTTGCCGATGATTCGGTGTCAAGGTTGGGGGCGGCGTAGGAAATGGCGTTGTAGGGTTGTCCGTAGTTGCTGCGCCTTCCGTGTCGGATCCCGTACGGTACGATCTGTCTCCCGCATCTGCACAAATTAATCACACGTTAATGACATTCACTTTTATCAGCTAAGCTATCTGCTATCTCTCAACAAGGCATATGTTCTCCTCTTAAATTAATTAAAAAGAAGATAAACAGAATGAGAGAGGAAGAGAGAGATTATTCGCTAACGTGAGTAAAGCTTGTAAAACTTTTTGTTAGCTTTGTTCCGAATTCACGATGAGTTAAAATTTCCCCGTGTTTACAAGTTCTTGTTCATAGGTATGTAAACTCCGTGTTATCTGCGATCTTGCCGCTTGCGGACAACCGCAGACGCACCGCAGCATACATGATGCCACAAACGTGTATCGTGTCTTCGCCTATCTTGAGAGCAGTGGGGTCTTGCATGACGTAACCATCATTCTGTTTTAGAGGTCTCCCGCTGTGAATGTTACCAACTATCTTACTTCACCTCTATCGCCAGTCGACATTTCCGCCAGCTCTCTGTCAGATCCGAGCACTTCGTCGCGCGTCGTTGCTCTGATCTGCATTTGCTTAAGTTGACGCATGTCTAAACTCTTAAAGGCGCTTGTCACTAAAGCAGTGCCGTTCCGAGGGAGCTTGCATTATTCGGCGCGCGATAGCGGAACATAAGAAGCATCCGGGCAGAGGGGACTTTCTGCCGTAAGAAATACCGGTGTGTCGGTATGCCTTGGCGCAACATGCGACCGCGTGCGTACCTGTACAGCTGTATTTTTAACCACGTTGACACGTACAAGGTGTACCGGGAGTTATTTCTTTGACGAAGAGATATATACTCGCAGATGTGCTGAGGTGACGCTGAAAGGATAAAATGGGGCGACATAGTTAGCTGAAGGAGGAATTTTTCTGTGACATTCCCATGCGTACTTCCAGTCAGTCTTCTGTCAATAATAAAATGTTGAATTACTTTTATTTCGATTATTGAAAGTAAAATTCCAACGTTTTTCTTTATTGTAGTGTAAAATCTTTTATTCTGTATACAGGATGTTAAAAAAACCATTCAGCATTTATATGATGGATACACGGAGAGAATTTTCTTTTAAAATTTATCTTGAAAATATGGTAGTTGTGGTACAATATAATATTTTGAAGTTTTTTATTATGCACTTCAGTAAAATTAATCAAACATATTTTATACTTTATTGTAGTTTTATTAATGAATGAGAGATTTACATTAAAATTCTTCGAAATGCAATGTTGTCCCACGACTATCATATTTTCAGGATAAACTCTAAGAAAAAAATTCTCTCCGTGTAGTATATACTGAGTAAAAGGACCTTAGTGAACATTATAGGTCGAAAGTTCAACCATTTCTGAGATATTCTAATGGTGCATGTATCTCCCTTACTTAAAAAATGACACAACTATGAAAACATGATTTTTTAGCTATTTCCATGAATAAATTAAATAAACATTATCCTATCAATCAAAAATAAACTAACAACTTAACTTCATTAAAAATCGTGAAAATCGTCACAATTTAAAAAGAGTGGTTGTAAAACGAAAATGACATTTAATCATGTTAAGAATATATTCTTTTTGCCAATATTTGATTACTCAATAATTTTCTGTCGAAAAATAATTTTTTCCTTTTCTGAGAAACTTATTCTTGTGTTACTTTTTAAGTAAGGCAGCGGTATATACGACTTGTAATTAAAAATATGACTTGGCGATATCGCGTTTGGTTTATTAATTGGCAGATAATTGCCGGTTGCAGGAACGCACGTTCTAATTCACTATTAAACTTGGTTTCGCTGTGGCGAACAAAGGGGTAAAACCATAGTGAAAAAAGGTTGGGACAGGAGATTGGTAAGGAAGGGAGGGGACGAAATCGAATCTTGTCGGTAATTAATGAGGAAAGTTTTACAAATAGCCGAAGGCATAGTCACTAAACGCCTTAGCGAGCTCGTGAATCCCATCCACAAGCAGAGTATCTTTACACAAAAGTAAGTTTTTAATTGATAATTATCCTTTTTTATACCAGAAGAGAGAATACTAGACTGCTAACTGTTTTACAATACGTTTATACCAGTTCTTTCATTAAGATGGGAGAAATATAAAGATATTTTTGTAAAGTAAATTTACAATTTAGTTACGTGATATTAATTAATAATGAAGTATGTGTGACAACTTATGCCAATTGAATAACGTAAAGATAATTCAAGTTGTGTAATAAATATAGCTATCATGATATTTAGCGATTTGTAGGTTGAGCGTAGAGGAAATCGAATATGTCATTGCCGATATCGCAGGCTTTCTCCTATTCTATTATTTCTCGCGCATTGAAAATAGCCAATATTTGGATGTAGGAGGAGAGCCAACGAGGTGCTAATTACATTCTCGCGCTGCGCGTCGCGTTCTAAACGTTGTTTGCATCGAAATAGACGCGCTTGTCGAAAGCGGCGCGCAGCTGCGAATTGACAAATCAGTTTTTCAAATCGGTCGGAAATTTACGAGCGTGGAACAAGCTCGAGGCTTGTGGGTTACCTCGGAACATCAAAGATTCGAAATGCTCTCTATCTCGTCTCTGCCTCTTTCCCACTCGAAGCCGCCGGTGGTGTGAGCGGCATACTCGCGATATAAAGAGAGATACAGTCAAGATGGGCACCCTGATAGTCGAGACGTCTGAGAGTGAGTAGCCGAGGGCCGGGGCAGTGGCGCTGATATTGCTCGCATTAAACTTTCATATTCAATCTTGCCACCCACCGTTGGGGCACCCTCCGCGCGGTCCCCGACCCTCATCCCGCCGCTATGCCATGCCGTACGGAGAGCGAGCTCGGCATCAACCCCACATGTAATTGTGTTATGCCCTCTTCACCCTCCCCCCCCTCTCTCTCTCCCTCCCTCTTCCCTCTCCTCCTCACTCTTCACTAACCCCCGTCTCTTCCTCCGACCTTTCCTCTTCTCTTCTACCAATTTCCCTTCGGCGCGACCTCGGTCACCCTCCTGCTCGTGCGGTTCCGCTACGCCCTCGTGGCGCTCCTCCTTTCTATATTGGATTTTCTAATCCGTATGGATTCGAAAACGTCGCCTTGACGTTTAAGAGGATAGAAAGGTCATTTCTTTATCGGTCGTCTTGCCACGTCGCTTTTGGATCAGCGCGACAAATGTCCGTGATTACAAGACACTCTTTTGCTTCATTTCTCGTTCGTTGTATTAGGTGTTAAACTTAATTCCTGCCTTTTTCGTCTCCAAAATTGATTTGTTTCGGAGGGAAATACCTTAATCAAAGTAATTTCCTCCATTTTCTACTTTATTACTAATTAACTTTATTAATAATACTTGGATTAAGGTATTTCCCTCCGAAACAAATCAATTTTGGAGATGAAAAACGGCAGGAATTAAGTTTAACACCTAATATATAGATGTTGACATAGAAGTACCACGTGTTTATTGCAAAAGTAAAAACCAATATCTTGTTTCCTTTGCGCCATTTAAAATCGACGAATCCAAATTGCTCGAACAAATACCTATACATATGATATTTCAATCTTTACTTGAACACTATTTGTGCAAGTTTTGACCTAAATAAAATTACGCGGCTCAGTCTTCATGAAATTAGTATAATTATTAGCTCGTAATATATATAATGTTAACTAATTATTATTTAATTATCACAATATCATAATGTTTAAACAGGAACTGCTTGCTCTCCGAATTAATCGATAAACTCGCCCAACAATGTACACGCATCGACCGTATCGATCGCGAAAGCGTTAACCACGTAACAACATCTCGCCGGCATGTCGACGTAGCAAAACGAACAGTCGGCGCTTATCTTTAATCGACCGTTAATCATCGGCGCCGATCGCGTGCTCACCGGTGTCCCCTTTCGACACTCCCGGCAGCCGTGCGAGTGCATGAGCTAGCCGAACGATTTATCTCGCAAAGCACACGGGGCTTGCCGTCCCCTCCGACACTCGCCACGCTCGGAATTTACAGTCGTGTCTCGTCCTGTCCGGTGGCATTTCTTCACCCCGGCAACGGTTCCTTCCGTGGCGACTAAACGCACGACGGGTGGGTATACCTTCGGTGCGACAAGGAGAACCGTGCCATGTCGTGTGCACACGATGCATTTTGTTTGTAGGGGATTGTTGCCATGGCAGCGAACTGCGAACATCGAATGCACTTCGCCCTGGCACGGCACGGCGCGGCGCGGTAGCACCGACACGGCTCGTAGACCCGAGCGAGCTTGCGGAAGAGTTAGCCCCCGGCTGCTTTCGCAAGCTCCGCGCAACGGCCCGTGTACACCTGGACACGGTAGACGACGCAACTTCGGGCGAAGCGCGTTAATTTTCTTCAAAATTTTGCTCGTGAACGACGCTGCGTTGCGGTCCGTAGTTAACACGCGTTTTTCCAAAGCGTTCCCCTCTAATGATTTCGCATTGCGTTAAAATACATGTACAGGATATCCGTGAGAGAGATACCGTATTTCACGAAATTCTGTATATAGCTAGAATATATATGTGGGATCGATATTGGGAGAGAGAAATAATTCTATAGATAAAAAATTTAATAATTATCGATTAACATAGATGCATGGTAATTTATTTTCGTCGCCAATTTCAATTATCACGGATTAGATGATTCGAATGTATGTATATGGAAAGATAGTTGCACAAGATAGTTGCAATATGCAGTCTCGTAAACGCATTTTGCAAGAATGCAACAACGGATGTTTGTGACAACAGCAAATAACGTTGACACAAATATTGAATATCATTTCAATATGCAACAACGTTACAGTTTTATTCTTGTGTGTTTGAATTTGTGTATTTTCCGATGACGAATGAATATTTAAGTTAAACGCGGAATTTCTTTTCGACTCCTGGTTATAATTTAGGTTCCTTTTACCAAACTTTTTAAACGCGCAAAAGTGTACTGTTGCGAAAAGTGTACATATGTCAAAAAAGGGAAAGGAAAAAAAACAATAAACGATGCAAGACGCGTTTTTCAGCAGCTGTCGCATGCACAAGGAACAATGGGATACCTACATCGCGGCTC